TCTTGGATGCCTGGTTCCTCATAGTGGGAAATGTTATTTTTAATAATTAACGCACTTCCTCCTCCTGCTGCATTTGATGAATGGATAGTACGATAGAAGTTATATTCTCTGAATTTAATGTATGACTCTGTTGTTAAGTTAAGTGAATCTGCAAGAAGTGAAAAAATTACCGAATCACCGGAAATAGAAAACAGTAAGTAGTAACCTTCCATTATTAGTATTTTGTAACTCCCTTTTTTAATGAAGTTTCTGTATTAGGAGTCATATTCCAATTCTTTTACACGTACTTATATTTAGGTGGACTTGGCATATTTAAATACTCTTGATATTTTTTAAGTAAATTTGTGCATTATTATATTACATGCAATTTTTTTAGTAAATCGTTAATTGATGTATTAGATAATATAAGATAAAATAGAAATATTGATGAACTTTATAAACAACTACTCCGATAGCAAATACTAAAAAAATATACAGAGAAGCTAAGAAGTTAAATAAGAAACGCAAGCTAACTTTTTTAATGCGGAGATAGATTTTCGCCGAAACTGGGATGTGTTCTAGAAACTTTTTCATTTTTCCAAATCCAATTTCGAAATCCAAACGAACATCTAATAGTGTAATGCCGATATACGCTTTAGCCATCGGAGTAGTTGTTTCTATTTGCTCCGTGCGAAGTCATGGAAAGGGAAGCAAAAGCGATATTAGCGCTAGCTGCGGATAATTAATGCATTTTAGGGCGATATTTTGTAATTTTGGCATATCAAATACACGTATACATTTTACTTTTTTTTTTCAAAAAAGTAGGTAAAAACAATACAATAAGCAATCGGAGTTGCTGTGTTGAAAATTGTACAAATACTAGCAAAAAAAAATAGTGAAACTTATATAAAAAATTTCAGTAGCAAAGTGGAAATTAAATTAAATAAATAAATGGATAGGTGTACAATAAGAAGAAAAATTACCTTTATTTTCGTAATAATAACAGTAATGCTGGAAATAGTAGACATCAGAAACTTGAAAGGTTTTAAATAAACAATAAATTATCATTTTACGATGTTCTTTAATATCCCTTTATTCTTAAATGTTCATTCAGCAAGGACTAGATTTCGAGATTTCTGCCTTTGATTATTATATGTTTCTGGAATGCAATTTTGTGACTTACTGATGGGAAACCAGTTTTATTCATTCATTCTATGTTTTCTTTCGAACAAAAATGAAAATATAAATAACGATCCTTTTTTATACATTTAAATTTCACGCTTAAATGGTATTTTTTATTTTGATAGAATAGGCTAATTCTTCAGTGACAACTTATTAAACATAGGCAACTTCTCATACATTTTCCAGTAAATACTGTTGCCTGTCTATATTTTATTATTGATTTTTATTGATTATACATAATTTTCTTTAATTTAAAGCAGTAAAAATATATAATAATAATAAATTAATGTTTTACTTGTTTTACAAATCCACATACTTTTATTAAAACTAACATATATACTTTTTATTTACGAATTCTAATAAAAATTGTATTTGTCAGTATACGCAGAAATAGACCATTAGTACCAAAACGAATTGGCGCTGCTGTCGCGCACGGAGCGAATAGTTCATTATATTTCTATTATTTTCATCTTAAAAAATTAAATTTTTGTCTTTCCTTGTGTTTCTCTTTTAAAGCCATTTTACAGGACAAACCATTTCCAAAGTATCTTCAACGATTCTTTTTTGTTTTAACCTTAGAAGATCAAAATAGCCAGAATCTAAGAACTACGTTCAATTCAACAAGTGAACATCAAAAAACCCCTGTGGATGATTTCCGTTGCAACGCCGTTCAAACTTCCATTACATTGACGTCTAAAACGCCTTCTACAACTGTTCGCCAAATATTTTGTAAATCCCCAGAAGTACCAGAGAAAACTTTACACGATAGTATTAGTAATAGAAAACAACTAATTAGCAATTCTTCAAATAAGCCTAATGTGGTGCCTAATGTGGTGCCTAATGTGGTGTCGCCTACCTTGAGCGGAAACTTACATGTGACTGCTGACCACTCCTTTCAAGGACCTTTGTGCGACATTTCCCAAAATGAGCAAATAGTAACGGATTTTGACAGTCATGATGATGGAGCTGATCCCACATATGAGATCCCAGCAAAATAAAATATTGAATCTGAAAATACATCTGATTCTAAAGGCGAGGAAGAGTGCAATCAACAAAAGGGAAATAAAGAGACGTAGTAACCCCGATATTTGGAAGAAAAATGCGAAGAAAGCAGAAAATCATGCTGGATGTGAATACGTTACACCAGCAATAGAGTTGTCCAGGGAAAGACATTAAAACACCCATGTCCCGATAGCTGCAAGCTGAAGTGCAAACTAAAAATTTTTGAACAGAAAAGCAGATTATTCAAACGGAATTTTGGAATTCCAAAAAGAAGTTTGAAACTAAAAAATTAATTAATTTATAATAACAAATAATTTATAATGTAAAACGTAAATAATCACCTAGCCTAAAATTTCATGTTAAATGACTGTAATTGCATATTTAAATAAAAATTTTAATTCAAAATAACTTTACTTTATAATATTCTTCTGTATTGTAAAAAATAAAGTTTTTTTACTCTTGAGTAAAATTCATATTTTCAGACAAACCTCGTATACGGCTTGAAAAAATTTATATTCGATGATTGCATTTTAAGTTTTGGACCATGCAAAACTTTTTATCAACAATATATTTTTTCACGAAACCAATAATAAAAAAGTTTTCCATATGGTTCCAACTTAAGTAGACACACTGTATATATAGCGAGCAGTAAACATAAGTGTAGAAGATGTGAATATAAGAGGCTTGGTTGCGAGGGGAAGAATATTAGTAAGATTAATTTCTAACCCGTAACAGTGTAAAAGTGATTTTTTACACTCGTAACGTAATATACTATTTCATTGTGTTTGACATAAAATATTTAAATTTTATCCATTTTTATGATTTCACGTATTGTAGATAGACTACATCGTATATCGCAACCCTTTAGACACACCAAACCCTGAAATGTCTAATTAATAATGTAGATCTGATTTCGGGTACTATCAATATTACCTTTAGTTTTCAGTCAATACATTCAGCCATGGACGGAACTATGGAGTGTAGAGGAAAAGCGGGCAATATCTCACATCTCAAAAAGTCTCCACCAAAAAGCTGTAAATAAGGTTTAAGAAAGTGTCCCGATATTGCCACTACAATAATATTGTCACTACAATAGAAGGGCCAGGTCCAAAAAGTATTGGATTGGCTGCCTTCTTGGCTAGTGAATCAGCAAGACGATTACCTTTCAATGTAACGTGATCTTTAAGCCCTCTTAAGGTAAGCACATTATTGATGGATACTTCAGCCAAAGCTTCATGACATTCTACTACTATTCCTCAGTAAATTCGTGGTCTGTCCAGTTTGAGTAGTATTTGTATAGAAAAGCATGTTCCTTCAAGTGATATTGTTTCTAGTTACTTCTCTTGCGAACGAAGCCTCCGGGAAACCAGGCGACCTCCCGACATTAACTAGCCTTGCTGCGGCATGCGGGGCTCTGCCGTGGTTAACCACCCTTTCCCTAGCTACTCGTGGGATCTGTATGAAAGACAGACAAAAAAACAATGACGTAGGGGACAATCCCCTCGAATTCCTTCGAATCCATCAAATCTGGCTATAAACCGATAGAGGTTTCATGAACCATATCAAACAACGTCATTCCGGAGGAGTTGAAGGATGCTTTACTTGCATCACCCAACTTTAAAGGAAATGAAACTCGGTGGAGAAAGAGGAGGCACCAAGTTCCTCAAATAAACCTGAGAGGCATACCAAAAGGTTCGCCGGAGCGACCAGAAAGCGCCTCAAATTGATGCGAGTTGGATGAGAAAGAGAGTGGTAAATCACCCTTCTCGATTTCAACTGAACAATCTAGACAACCGGTGAGGGAACACCAAAGGAGTCTAGAACCAAACGTCAACTCTCCGACGACAGCACTCCTAAAACGAAACTTAAAAAACTCCGTAGGGATGCCATAACCGAGCCGAAAGGATTATTCAAAGCCATAGCGAAGAGTGTTTGAGTGGGGATTATTCACCCAGAACACCCTGACGTCCAGCTTTCGAATGAACAGCTGCAAGCTATACAGCTCTCAATCATGAGAACTGTAGAAAGACAACCTGTGTACGGACCTCAAATCCGTTTCCAGGGCTGCACCATCAGACCATTCATCTTCTTCTGGACTGTGCCGACGCTACAACGGCTCGGTGACTAGAGGGAGCCATGGACAAACTCCGCCCATGGAATGACGCACGTCTAAAGTTGGTGCAAGGTAAGGAAATAATCAAGCCATTCATCTGCGCGGTGTACATCCCTGACGATGTAGGATCCACCCGATTACCATGGGAGCAGGTAAGAAAGCGGTTTAGGATAATAAACCGAGGCCTGCGAACCCAGGAGTGGAGCTGTCTACACCGGGTAGCCTCAGGCCAGCTGGGTCACACCTGGACGCTTTCCATCGACGATGTCTTGATGTGAGAGTTGAAACGGATGAACTTCCAGTCTTACTTCGGCTTCGACCTGGTGCAATTCTGGCTCCGAGATCACAGAGGTGCCACGGAGAGAGTCCCAACATTAGACTCTCAACAGATGCCGTCTGTCTCCGGAACCTCGAGTAGGATCGCCAAGGACGCAGGACATGAAAAGATCACTCCTGCAGCCGAAGTGGCTAACAAGAGGATCCCTGGACCCGCGAAACCTCATTGGAGGCCCGTTTCCTCAAAGGACAAGGGGAAACAACCCCTGTCCAAGAGAGCAGTGCGTAAAAGCTCCAAAACCAAAAGGAAGGGAAATACGGAGAATAGAAGCGAGAAAAATGATCCTCCTCCACCTCCTCCACCCCCTTCCCCAATCCTTCCCACTCACTAACAATGGTCAAGCCGATGCTCTTTCTCCAGGCAAATATCCATCACGCCCAAGCGGCTTCATACGTCCTTGGCAGGAGGTTTGCCGTCGATTTTATCCAGGAATCCTGGATTTCCAGCAACGGGCGGATTAGCGGCCTTGGAAACTGTTCCGGTAAGTTGGTAGTCGGTAACTCTTTGGACAAACCAAGAGCATGCCTTCTTATCAGAAATAATAAAAAAGTTTTTATGTTAACAGGTTACTGCACCCCCGATGTGGTTGCAGCCCAGGTCTCGATCCCGGTGGAGAACAACAGCAAGGATTTAGTAGTCTGCTCTGCTTACTTCCCTGGAGACTCAGATCAAGACCAATCCCCTCCTCCAGTGATAGTGCGAGAACTAGTTGCCTATTGCAAGAGAAACAACAAGCAGCTCGTCATTGGGTGCAACGCTAACGCCCACCACAGGGACTGGGGAAGTACCGACATCAATACACGAGGAGAGCAACTTTATAATTATATAATCGGTGAAGGGCTTATTGTTAACAACGTAGATTTGGAACCAACTTTCGTGACGAAAAATCGTGCGGAAGTTCTAGACCTAACAATCAGTACGTCGTTTGTGTGCCAATATTGTTAACTGGAGGGTATCCAATGAACCCTCATGCTCAGATCACAGACACATCAGATTTGACATGAGGACGGATCGGATACCCACTCTCCGATTTCGTGACCCTAAAAGCACAAACTTGAGAGGATACGAAAAGTCCCTCCAGGAGGGGCTTGGAAACGTAATTAAAACTAGCGCAGAGATTGAAGTGGCGAATGATCAAATTCAAAATACCCTTATTACTGCCTATCAGGACAACTGCCTACTAAAGGAGAGAAGAGACCTGAGGGGTACTCCATGGTGGAGCAGAAGCCTCGACCAAAAAAGAAAAGAAGTTCGACATCTCTTTAATCGAGCTAAAGAATTTGGCTGCTAGGCAAAATACCGCAATTCTCTAATGGAGTACAACAAGGCTATTAGAAAGGCCAAACGAGAATCGTGGAGAAAGTTCTGTCAGAGTATATCAGATTTACCTGCAAGTACCAGACTTCACAAGAGTCTGGCCAAAGATCCGAGACAGGAAGTCGGCTCGATAAAAAGACCCGACAACACCTATATGGACTCTGGTAAGGAAAATTTAGAGATTCTTTTACAGAAACGCTTCCCAGGCACTCGAATCCTGAAGGACAGGCAACATGTACCCCTTCCGTTAACGGAATCGATTATACGACCCAAAAAGAAGGACTGGAACTTTGTTGCACAAATTGTCTCTCCAAACGCCGTGAAATGGGCGATTTCATTCTCCCCCTTCAAATCACCCGGAGAGGATGGCATTTTTCGGGCCCTTTTACAAAAAGGACAGAAACTCCTACTACCCCTCCTTGTGATGTTGTTTAGAGCAAGCCTGGCGTGGAGCTATATCCCACTAGGATGGATGTTGTCGAAAGTCATGTATATTCACAAGGCTGGTAGAGTAGATACCTCCCTACCAAACTCTTATCGTCCAATCTGCCTAACATCCTTCCTTCTAAAAACACTAGAGATCATCCCACTCATTTTCAACCTAACCTATACTATTCCAATTCAGTCTAGTCTTTTTAGTTCCACCTTTAATTTTTAAATATCTCTGTAAATTTAGCTTTATTTCTTTTAGAATCCCTTTTGAACTTATCGGAATCTGATTAAAGTTTGACTTGTTCAACACTGGACTAGCTGATTATCAATTGTGCTTCACGAATTAAATTGTAGCTATCAAAGTTTTCATAGATTTTCTGTATTTCTTAAAAGCTGCTGCATTTTTCTGTAATTCCTTGCATGTTTTCTCTTGTGATATCTTTCCCTTTCTACTGTTTTTGGTTTTTCGTATGCCTCAGAACTAATTTTAATTAATATGTGGAAGGCATGCAACAAAAACAACAGATAATGTAATTCATTAATTAAATACTATTTATAATACCTATACAAAATTGAACCGAAGTTTTTTCCAAACAAATGATCAGATAATTCAATTAACATTTATTTTCGAGTTCACAAAGTGTGAAATGCTTAATAAATCTTCAAATTGCTTTAAAATAGAAAGAAAAATTATCAACTTCAGTCAGCGATTGATATGGAGACGTTTTTAGATCATTTCAATTTAAACAAAAATACCTTACCTTATGTCTCTAAAAAACTAAGTATGGAATTAACAGTAGAGATTAGTATTAATTGTTTAAAGTCATAATTTATACATTAATTATTCCCAGGCAAGAAATAATGAACAAAAACAGATTTGTCTTCTTTTAGTGGAATCACCCAGAAATTGAATTCCGTGCAAAGTGAGATGAATTGTTTCTTAATGATGCATTTCTAAACGAAACCTCTAAACCAGTGGGATTGTAAACGAGGTACCTGTTCGCTAGAATACTGAATTTGTAAATGCGTATTCTGGATCTGGAATGACATTGGCCTATTTCGCATTTTCTCTTCCACGGCCTACTTTCCTTTCCCGCCGTAATTCAACTTTGTGCTCTTCGAAATTCGCGTAGAGGTGGGATATTCTTGTGTGAAAACTACGTCAAATTGGCAAAAACTAATCATTGTGTGAAATAATGATAAAGAAAATAAACAGCAGATAAATAAATAATATGTGTAATAAATATAATATTGAATACTGTAACGTTTGTTTAATTTAAAAATAGTTTATTTTTTAAAAGAGTTTATTTATAATTTATTTACATTAAGTACTTATTAATGTATTTATACTCAAGCAATTTATTTAACAATTTACTTATAATAATTTATATTACATTTACTTTATCGACTTTCTCACAGCTATAACTCGACTTTAACTGACTGACTTCCTATACAACACAGTCCATTTATATTTAAATTGGTGTATGCACTAGACTATTCTTATTCCCACCATTTATTAAAAAATAGAAATTATTTATTTAAAGAAATAATTAATACACACATATTTAGTCATGCATACTTGATAAAGACTTGGTCTTTGTATGAGTTAAATAACAAACAAATAACTATTAAAAAATACAAAATATATAACACACATTAAACTAAAATTAAAGATTAATACATATGATATGATTACATTCCAGAGATATTTGTAAAAATATTGTAAAGGTGGGGGCATTCAATTAATTCATAAATAGTTTCACGAGGTATTTCAGCTAGGTATTTTTTCAAGGCTCTTTTAAAATGTAATTTATTTGTAATATTTAGGATATCACGTGGTAGATATGAAAATAATTTAGGTCCTAGATATTTATGTGACTGTTGTCTTATAGATTCATTTGTTGTAGCTGGTAAGTAGTTATAATTTTTATTTCTGGTATTATAATGATGTTCATTTAATCTTACGAGTATGTTCATTTTTGTGCTGTTCTAAAGCACTTTGTAAGAAAAATAATTGCCGAGGATCTAGAACTCATATGCGCGTTTGTGGGGTAAAGTCTGCCCTTTTAAAATAAAATTTTTAAAAGTCTCTTTTGACAGATTATAAAATTATTTAGATGAGTTTTTTTAACAGCGCCCCAGGCTACTATTCCATATGTAATATGAGATTCAACAAACGCATAATAAACAGTTTTTAGCTGGGAGGTGGTTTTCAAACCAGGATTTAATTAATTGAAGGTCTTTTTCGACTTTTTTCTTTAAATCTTTCCATGTTTTATCTGTATATAAAATTACCGTATCATCAGCGTATGTATTAGATAAATAGCGTTTAAAAAATTTCAGTGTTTTACCTCTTAGACAGGCATCTTATGCAATTTTTCGAATTTGCTTCTATAAAGTGTTTCAGTACATTCCCGAATGACTGATTAATACCGGCTGTCTGTGGGAAGCATAGGTGTCCTTTTAGTTGGGCAAAGGGGGTTTTATCCGCTTCATCAAATATTTCTGATTCTAAAGACAAGTCGTAAAAAGGCCTAAACAAGGTAGAACGACCCAAAAGATCAGAGCCAGATTTGTCGGAAATGGTTCACATTACAATAGAATAGAATAATAAAGGATTGCTGAACTTGGCCTATCCACAGGCGCCCAAAGATTTCCTAGATCAAATTGGGATACAATGCATTCATTGATGGACTACAGGATGTGGAAATGCAGTAAGCTCCTCGACTACAACACTACAAGATGCTGAGTGAGACACAGATTACAGCCCAGGAATACGAAGCAGCAAAAATCATATCAATAGCTTCCCCCGCAAAATTGAGAGAAATTAAATTCCAGGAAAGCGAAAATGCCGCTAATAATACTATTCCTCAGCATACTCTATCATAACTCTACTCTCTCATAAATCTTACATATCCTGCAAAATATGCAACAAAATAGCCAAAATGAGAGTAGAAAATGCTTCAATTGCGAAAAAATCAGACATCTTCAAAGAACCTGTAGAAGCAGGGGTCGTTCTATAAATCTAAATTCGGGGAGTGAGGCTAGAAATTCACTTAGATCAAACACCCGAATCCTGTCACGAAGTCCAATTACAGCAGATATGCCTCCCAGAGAAGCCGGTCACCCACACCTAACCGGCTCTCCAGCAATAATTGGGGAAACGAATAAAGCTCGACACCACGGGGCAGGCGTCGGCAATAAGAGAGAGCCACAAAATTCGCACTTACACCTTAAATAAAAACGAAAAAATTTATTCGTCAAGGGGAATATCGACAACTAAGAAGGCACATTCATAATTTATAATGGTGATAAGTGAAACAGCTACAAGGCACACTACTCCTGTTCTAGGTGCGATTATAGATTGGTAATACCTTGATACAACACTTATTTCTGGTGGTCGATATTAAAGATCAGTGTGTCCTTGGTATGGATTTTATGCAAAATAAGTTTACCATCGATCTTCAAAATAAGATTTTAGTAATTGGGAACGAAGCTAAAGACCTATCAGTAGTTATAAATGGTTTTTAGGCTAGTTGGTTGTTACATTTAGTGACAAGTGGTGGTCTTTGGGCATCCCGCTTGTTACATTTGGTGACGAGCGTTATTCCTTTAGATTTCCTGGTTGTTATAATTACATGATACAATTTATGCTTTATTGTTTAAAATCTTACATAATTTTGCTCTTTTTATGGAATTAGAAACTACTGGACAAAACAAAAAGTCATTATATTTTTTATATTTGAGCATGAACTTCATCTGTGCTGATAATTCCACTA